TGTAGTCGTTCATGAATATCTGCATTACTAGATATCAATTCAATATTTTATTGAAATTGTATAGTTAACATTTTTAGAAGTTTTGAAGTTTCGAAAAATTGTAAAAATGATAAATATTTGATATGATATTTTGTAAAAAAAATAATTATTTCACTTAAATTTTTTTTTTTTTAAAAAAAAATATACTATTGATTAGTAGTGCTAAAACTTAAAAAATATGTATGCAAACATAATTTTATTCTATGTTAATATATTTTAGTTAAATCTATTTATTATAGGGCAATGGAATATGTCCTATTCATATTTTTTTTGTGAAAGTTAAGGAACTGAATGGAATGTTTTCATTTTGTAAGATAAAATTAACAATTAAGAATCTTATTGAATGAAGTTTGAAAAATTTTGGTTTGGATTTGGTATTAAAATAGTATAAAATGGGATATTTTGTAAGAGAAAAAAAAATACTTTTTTAAAAAAAATACAGACTCTAAATAGTAGAAATTTGAAGTTTGGTATGTAAAGAAATACACATGTTATATTTTTCATTCAACACGAAAAAAATATCTTTTGGATCGTTTCATTATGTTAAAAATGGAGGAAACATATATATAAAATACTTTTAAAAAAAATACATTAGTTAAGCATATATTCTCTTTGATCCAACTCAATGTATTTATTTTATCATTTTTTCACTCAAAAGTATATTTTTTTATTATAATAAAAGTAATAATATACAAATACCAAAATATCTATAATTTTTTTCTAAAAATATTTATTTTTTTTGTATTCATAAGGATAAAAAATGTTAAATTATCTTATACATTCTACTAATTAATCTATTACAAAAAGTAAATATATAATTCAATTGGGACGAACGGAGTATAATTGTAACATTTAACTACTTCACATGACTGTGTTATAAGTAGACCCGATAATAAGTCGATTTGTGTCGGATTGAATACTTTAAACGGGTTAAATACTCAACTTTAATTCGATCTATTTATTATTGTGTCGGGTTCACGTTGATTCGCATACATAATTTGATTGAAATCCTTGATTCAAATTCAATTATTATGATCGAGTTGTTGTTTCGGGTTTGAGTGAGGACATCAGCCTTAACCTAACTTGTTTATTATCGTGTCGGGTTTGTATTGACCCGTATACATAATTGGATCGAAATTTTCGACACAAACTCAATTATTTCGTATCGAATTGTCGTGTTGGGTTAATTATTTTTGGCTCTAGTTATAAGTTGAGTTATATATATATATAGGTTCTTTCGCCCTCTCAAAACCTCTCCTTCTAAACAGAAATGATTTTTATCTTCTGCTACTCTGATTCGATCAACTGCCAAACAAAATATCGATCATGCCTTTGAACAATGAGAGGTTTTTACCAGACAAACAAACTTTTACTACCTAATAATGCAAGGTAACAAAAAAAAAAATGGTATTTCTCATACAAAGAGTTTAAACCATGGCATAATTAACCATACATACCCTGAAGTTAGGGTTAGATTCGAGAGTAAGTAAAATGATAATCAACCAAGGTAGAATCCACAACCAGAGATGGTGATAATGTGGTTATATATATATATATATATATATACATATAGAGCCCAAAAATTAAAAGGGGAATAGAATTAGGGTTTAGAGAGGCAGACATTAAGGAGGAAGAATGGGAGAAAGCAAGCAAGCTAACATAAGAGAGTGTTTGTATGTATGTATGTATATGTGTGTATATATATATAAATCTGTATGTATTAGTTAGGCCCACAAATTCCAAAAATGTTCATAGTGATGCCCTCACCAAAGAAGCTAACTTTATCACAAGTTTCCATGGAAGGGAAATCATGTTACCAAAAGTGACATTAATGTAACTGAGCATTCCACCAATTCATTCAATTCAATCCTCTTCCTCTTCTTCCTCCATACAAAATTAATAATTATTAGAACACAACACAACCAATTATTATTATAAACAACAAAAGGAAGAAGAAAGGGGTAGGGTGGGGTGGGGGTTGGGGTTGGGGGCTTGAAATTCAACTAGCCAACCCACCCACCCCACCCCACCCCACCACTTTGCTGATCTATTCTCTCCTCAGAGTCTGCACTTAACAGTGACTAGCTTTGAGAGTGAAATTCAACTTTCTAATATAGGAAAGAGATTGGAAAAAGTGGACACACCCCTTGTTGGGTCCCAAAAGGGCAAATTAGGTAATGGTCCCTGTAGTGTTAGGTCATGCAGAGCAGAGCAGAGCTGAGCAGAGCTGTGAAGTGAAGGGGGAAACCCAACCAATATATATATCTTAAAAAAAGGGGGGGGTGGGGTGGGGGTTTATGTTATTTAGTGCCCTTGGAAAGATGTACACATCATTCAACAATACATACATACGTATATATATATATTATGGGTTTTTGGGTTTGATTTGTTTTGGTTGCAAATTGGGAGTTGGGGAAAAAGAAAATTCAAGTTTCTAATCATGTGAAAGCACAATCAATAGGGCTGTGTACTAAATGCTTTTTGAGTTAATGCTTGTGGAATATATATGCATATATATATATCACTTTACAAACCAACCCCCCCCCCCCCCCCCCCAAGTCATACTAGTACTATGCTTTTAACATGTCCACTTTAAAATATGCTGTCTCAAAACCCTAAACTCATTTATTTTATTTTTTGTTCTTTTTTTTAAAAAAAAAAAGAAATAAATTGTTATTATGTTCTTTGTTGATTTTGTGCAATAGGGTCATCAGATATATTGAGTACACTAAACATCATATACGGAGAATTTCTGCAGTAAACATTTTTGTTTCTTGGATTTCTTCTGTTCATTTTTGCATATTTGGAAATGAAATAATGGAGATGCGATCATGTAAAAAAAATAAAAATAAAAATGAATGAATGAATGAGTCTTGATTTCTTCATGTGACTTGATACTGCATTCCAAATTTGTTGGGAGTTACTCTATTTAGAGGAATGTTAGGCCCAAATGCTCAATGTATTCCTTGTCGGCCCCATAAGCCCAATTTGTTTTTATTTTTTTTAATAAAAAATAAATTTTATTTTTGATATTTTAAAGGGAAAAAAAAATTTCTTGCTGCAAAATTTACAATATTATTATCTTGCTGTACAAATCATGTTCTTTCTATATATATATATATATATTATTGTATCAATATTTTATTTTATGTATAACATTATTCGAAACTTTTATCTAAACATATTTCAAAACTCTAATACTAGAAGTAAAAATAGTAATACTATGAAATGTTTTTACATAATAATAATATAATATAAGTACAATGTAACAATTAATTTTATCGCATGAAATACTCCTATATAACACATTTTATAAATATAAATATATAAGACATGTTTTTATTTCATAATATATGTTGTGTAAAATAAAAATATATGCTATATTTATAAATGATATAGTAAACAAACAAAAATTAAAACACGAAAAACAACCCCATAAATATAAACGTGGATTGATGCGTTTGGTATACTTTCTTAAGTCTAAGTTTCCCCAAATTTTACTATTTGGACTTTGCGTTTCCCAAAAAAAATACATTTTTTCATCTTACAAAACATTCCATTGTCAAACATTATTTAGATTGATTTCGTACCTTTCATTTAATGGTCAAATTCCACATAATCAAACCCATCAGACTTAAGGAAGGATATAAAAAAGAGAGGGAAATAAATATTCAATAAAAATGAAGTAGAAGAATCCAGATTCCAAATGAACAAATTCAAACAAGGGACTTTTCTGATTTTCGAAGAACCCCGCTTTTAAGAAAGATGTTCACTTCTTAAAATATCCAATATATGTAGGTGGAAATCGAAGAAGGGGTCAGATTTATCTCAACTGAAGCAAAAGTAACAATACAGTTTTTAATGCTACAAAAAGAGATATAATAAGTAAAATCCTAAAAATAAAAAAATAAGGATATGAAATAATCATATCAGATCCATCTGATGGTACCAAACCCAAATCATTTTTTTTTTTTTTTCCAAATTGATCAAAAAAAACACACCCTAAAAAAGATTGTACTTGTTGAAAATAACATTTGACGGCCTACTGGCAGTTGGGCCGCCCAAAATGATTTAATATGAAATGAAGTTTCAGTGTTCACTCAAAAATAAAATAATATAAAAAAGAGATCCGTATGAGATCTTGCATTTAGTATTTGGGAGAATAGAAAATCAATGGAAAGATTAATAACGTAAAAAGAGATTAAAGAGTAAAGCTTGGATATTAAAATAAAAATTTATAATATAAAATAGAAAGACTTGAAAGATTAAACAAAGTGCAATCCAAAATTAAAGAAAGTGTAATTCATATGAATAACAAGATGGAAAAATTAAAAATTAAAGATTATATTCTCTCTATCCCAAGTATACCATTTAAGATTATCCACATGAATAACACATTTTCATTTATAGTTTTTTATTATTATTATTATTATTATTATTACTACTCAATTATAAACTTACCTTCACTGTTACTTATAAATAAGAGTCTTGGGCTCTATTACATTTTGTATTAATTATGAGCAAAAAAAGAAAATCAAAAATATATTGAATGAAATATTTTTTATTATTTTAAAAATTTTCAAAAATTTCAAAAGTAATTATTTAAACAAGCCTTATGGTTACGTGAGTTCCCTTGTAAATACTTTTTAAAATTGAAATGTTGTCCTACTTAAATAATGCTTCATTAGGTAGAATTCCTAAACAATAATTACTCCAACAGGGGTTTGTTTGTTTTGAGAAATTTTTTAACACATTATTTTTTTAAAAAAAAAAAGAAAAAAAAAAGAACTAACATATTACCTCGATATTTTTATATTATTTAAAATTCTTAATATTAGTTATATCCTAATGAATGACTTTCCCCTGACTACAGAAACAAACATTTAATGCAGATTGCACAAAGAAAGGCAACTACTATAAATGAAATTTCCCATTATATTGACTCCCACAGACACCTCACATTCACCATCCATGGCGGCCACCGGATTTCCTTCCATAATTCTCTCCTTCCTCCTCCTCCTCTCCTCCGCCTCCGGCCGCCTTCCGCCGCCGTCTCAAGACCCCTCCTCCCTCGATCCGTCGCTGCAACAAACTCCAAAAATAATCCATGAAGCCTGCAAGGCGGCACGTGACCCTCCCGCATGCGAATCCTGGCTGTCCAGTCAAGGTCACGTGACCCCGACCGCCACCGTTCTGGAGGTGATCCGGTCGGCCTTGGGAATCGCGTCCCGGAATCTCGACAAAGGCCGGTCGATGATCCACGACATCCTCCGGTCCGCCGGCGGCAACGCCAACAAGACCAGGGCCGCCAACAACTGCCTGGAAGTGGTCTCCTACGCCGACCACCGCCTCAATCTCACCGCCGGCGAGGCCATTCCGGCCAAAGCCCTCAAAGACGGCCGGGCCTGGCTCTCCGCCGCCCTGTCGTACCAGTACGACTGCTGGAGCGCCCTCAAGTACGTCAACGACACCGCCCAGGTCGTCCAAACCATGGAATTCTTCAATTCCACCATGATCGCCGGCAGCAGCCGCGCCCTCGCTATGCTGATGAATTACGACATTTACGGCGACAAGACTGCCTCTTGGGCCCCGCCGAAGACCGAGCGGGTCGGGTTCTGGGAGCCGGCCGGCGGCGGCTCCGCCGCCCCGCCCGGCGGCGTGCCGCCGGGACTCGAGGAGGACGTCACCGTCTGTAAAAACAGCGCCGCCGCCGCCTGCGAGTACAATTCGATTCAGGAGGCGGTGAACGCCGCCCCGAATTTCGCTAAGAGGTTCGTGATTCGGATCCGCGCCGGGGTCTACGACGAGACTGTCCGAATCCCGCTGGAGAAGACGAACGTGGTGTTCTTGGGCGACGGCAGGGGCAAAACGGTCATTACAGGGTCCAGAAACGTCGGCCAGAAAGGGATCACCACTTTCGACACGGCCACCGTCGGTTTGTTTCGTCTCTAAACATAATCTGGTCTATGAATCCTCCATTTCCTTACAGCATTGGATAATGTCGATTGATGATCAAATTTGGTACTTAACAGGAGTCGTCGGCGACGGATTCATGGCGACCGGAATAACATTCAAGAACACGGCAGGCCCCGTCGCCCACCAAGCCGTCGCCTTCCGGTCCGACAGCGATCGCTCCATCATCGAAAACTGCGAATTCCTCGGCAATCAGGACACCCTCTACGCGCACAGCCTCCGGCAGCTCTACAAATCCTGTCTCATCCAGGGCAATGTCGATTTCATATTCGGCAATGCCGCCGCCGTCTTCGAGAACTGCCTGATCCTCATCGCCCCCCGGCAGGAGAGTCCCGAGAAGGGGGAGACCAACGCAGTGACAGCTCACGGAAGGGTCGACCCCGGCCAGTCGACGGGCTTTGTGTTCCGTAATTCAATCATCAACGGGACGGAGGAATACAACGAACTGTATCGGAAAAATCCCCGCGTGCACCGGAACTTCCTCGGTAGGCCGTGGAAGGAGTATTCGAGGACGGTTTTCATCGCGTGCACTCTAGAAGCTCTGATCTCGGCGGATGGATGGTTGCCGTGGAGCGGCGATTTTGCGCTCAAGACTTTGTATTACAGCGAGTTTAACAATACCGGGCCTGGTTCGAACACGGAGAAACGGGTGCCGTGGAGCAGTCGGATTCCGGCGGAGCACGCCGGATATTACTCCGTCGAGAATTTCATCCAGGGCGACCAGTGGATTGGGAAATGATCGATGGTATGATACAATTATGCACTATGCAGATTGATGAACTGACTTTTTTGTACCATGGGTTTGTCCTGGAGAATAAATTTGCCCATTTGTGTTTCATGTTTTGTGCATATGTTGTCATTGTTGAAAATGATAATGTAATGAAGTCAGCATAACAGAGACATGGCTTTGATGTACAAATTTTCATTATTACATGGTTGGATCTTTCAGACAGAAATAATATATACACACACATGTTGACATATACAAGCAGATTATGTAATGCTAAAGAGCTATTGATATTACAAGAGGATCCTCACCTGGATTTACCTCGAACGTTTTCACAACTTTCTTCTTGGAGTGATCAACAACTTCAACTTCGTATGATCCATGGAAACCTCGGAACCCGAATTCGCCTTTTCCGTTGACATGGCCGTGAGCTTTAGACAGCCATTCTTGCTTCAGGTCAAGGTATCTCTTCCCGGCTTCGTTAACATCCCCTTCAGCATTCACCAAGTGTGCATCGGTTCGGCTCATGAAGAGCTCCCAAAATCCCCAGAAAACCATGCCCTCGACAGCAGGGTGCGCAAATGCTTCCCGGAGCATGACTTCCAAATCATCAGCTCTTACAAACTCGTTATTTGAAGAGACATCGACTTCAGTGAACCATACAGGTAGGCCAAGAATTCCCAACTTATCGAGAGCAGAGGAAACAATAGGCCCGACTGGACTATCCGTATGTCCCTGTATGCCTATTCCTCCGACAGGCGCGCCCTGCTCTTGTAGATCAAGAATGTGCTGAATGTACTTCTCGGGAGATGACCGTGTATCGCAGCCGTCTTCGATATGGTAGTCGTTGACGAACAGGGTTGCAGAAGGGTCGAGTTGATTGGCAGTCTTGAACATATTTGCCCTGATATCTTTTCCCAGACGATCTTGGAAGAACGATCCGTGTAGCATTTCGTTGTTCACGTCATACTGCTTGAACTTCCCCTTGTAACGAGTCAAAAGACTGGTTAGACGATTCTGAACTGCTGTCATCAGATCGTTTTTGCTTAAGTCGCGGATCCAGGACTGAATAGCTCCCTCCACCTCCCAGAAGATGCAGTGGCCGCGAAGCTGAATGTTGTGGGTTGTACACAAGTTCAGCATCTCGTCAGCATCTTTGTAATTTAGGTTCCCCTGTTGTGCCTCTGTCCAATACCACTTCAACTCGTTTTCGAAAACAGCCCAGTTGAAGTGTTTGGAAAAGAAATCGACGAAGTCCTCATTGTCCAGGACAGATCTACTAATGCAGGTTCCAAAGGGGAAGCTGTTCTGTGTTTGTCGAATTTTCACAAAGGTGCCAACCGGTGCATCTGATCCGGATGAGGAGAACTTTAAGGTAACATCTCGTTTACGTATCTGCACAATAACCATGTATCAATGTCTAAAGTGCCATTATAAATCTACCACAAGTCATATAAAAAAACCTTGCCTTCTCAGTTTGTTTTTTCAAGTGTCTAAACCTTGCATGTCTGTCGACTGCAAAGATTTGAAGCCCGGCGACCATCACATCCACCCCAGCATCCGGACCCTGCAGGTAAACCATTATCTTTTCCGGCTGCTTCTCTATTCTGAAAGACCCTCCAATCTCATGCCATTTGCCGTCATCAATCTCAACCTGCCCACCATTCACCCATTGACTGTCCACACCAAGAGCAACATTAAGGCCCTGTGGCCTTGTTGCCCCTTTCCCAATCCGAACCCATGCTGATACTTGATATGTCAGATAAAGTTTCACCTTATCTGTGATCATCTGAGCTGGACCCATCCACGTCTGAGTCCGATTAGTCACAAGAATGTATTGGCCACTCAAAGGCTCATGAGCTCCAAGGGAGTCTGCAGCCATGGGGGGAAGGATCCGTGGAGATCCGCTTTTAACAGTCAGATTGCAATTCCCTAGAGGGAACCAACCATTGGTGCTGTCGCTGAGGTTGCTATTAGCAATAATATTAACTCCATAAGCAGCATCCTGGTTTAGAAGGAAAGAATAGAACCCTTAATAATACGATTGTCATTGAAAGAATTAGTCTACGGCTCTACACAATATACTCAACAATTCATAGCTTTTAATAGTTTGAGTACCTCAATCAATGGCGGAGATGCGGGGGGTGCTTTTCCGGCATGCTTTACAACAAGATTATCTAGAAGTATATCAGTACCTGGAGGTGGACCTTCTAAAAATATAACCACCCTTGATGGGGTGCCATTTAAAAGAAATTTTCCTTGCAATTGTGACCAATCTTTATCAGTTGCCTTCAAGCTGCAAAACCACAGAAATGGTGTTATGGAATCTGTTATTTGTGGAACACCTTTCCAAAACCTGTAAAAATTTATCTGTATATTGAGCTAGACTAAATACCTGCCAATCCCTATGTATTGTTCTCGAAGATCAGCTGCCTGAACCCACAGTGTAGCCCTAACATCCGCACTACTGACTTTATCTCCCAGTATTCGTATGGTTGCAACAACCTCATAGGCAAGCTTCCTCTGAACTCTCCCTGTTATCTCCTGCTGAATCCCATTCCAGTTCTGTGTTCGACCATCTGTTGAAGCAAAAAACTTTCCAGACATTGGACGAACTTTTCCATCAGCCATAGAATCATGCAATGCAATCTTGCAACCTCTCGCAGACCAATTGTTAAGGCCATCATCAAATCCAGGGTTCTGTATTACATTCTCGTTGGTATCACAAACAGATGGCGCATCTTGACTCTGTATGGTACAAACAAATAAGCAGATCATGTAAAGACCATCTATACAAAATGGTGAAAAACTTTATCCAATTAAATATTGGATTGCTTATCGAAGCATGCAATCCTTTTGTTTCAAGAACACTTTCTAATACCTAGTCTACATTTATTTAGTTCATATACATACTTACATCAGATTCATTGGAACTGGTGCAGGATATTACTACTGATCTTATCAGTAGATCAATCCCAGATGGAGGCCCTTCCAAATAAAATATAACTCGCTGCGGCATTGTTGATAGAGAAAATGAACCCTCGATCTTTGCCCATTGTTTATTTGAAGTAGAAGTCCTGCACATACCAACAGAATCAGAATTTTGTGCCTCGGGTATATGAAGGCAAAGTAAAACACAGAAAGACTGGACCTTCCAATGAATAAATAGCAGACAGGTGAATCTTTAAATTCAAGCCTAAGAGTAGCCAGCACAGAAGAAACACCATGAAATCCTGACGTAGAAACCCAAGAACAAACTCCGTAAGTAGAGCCTGCAGAAACTCTGTCGGTGATGTCTTGTTCAAGACCTTGCCAATTTTCTTTCCGATTTGTGACAGCAGCATAGCAAGCTGTTGCAGATGGATCTTGAGGAAAATCAGACTCGGAGGAAACCACAGAAGCATCACAACAATTAGGATTCCACATTTGAAGTCCTCCAGAAAAATCATGATTGAGAATAATATTTGTATACTGGGCCTTAGAATCCTTGGAATTCACGTTTAACTTCTGTCAGAAATCAGAAGTTGATGAGCCAGACATCATAAATGTTAAGGAAAAAATATTATCATGTAAAATTTTAAGCATGCAATTTCAGTTTTGATAACCTCAAATTCTAAAATCATAATTCGTGAGCATCAAACTATAATAAATCAATCTGCTGGAACCCGTAACTTTTACTAAACTTTCAACATCTTTTTTATTGTTTCTATACATGTTTACAAACTACATCAAATGCAAAAAACGGAGACAGATATAAAAACTGACACAAAACTCAAGAAAATAAAAATAAAAATATTTAATTCCACTTTTCTTGGTTTTGCAAGAACACAAGGATCAAAGTTTAAACATTATTCAACCATTGCCGCGACTCATAATATAAAGTATATATTCTTATATTTCAATCATTATATGATGTCACATATGCATATATAAACAATAAAAACAAACAAAGTAAATGGAAAATTACTAGTTATAATAAACAGAAGGAGAGTTTGGTATGTTCACTTTTGCCTAATAATTGATACTCATTTTCCCTCACTGAATATGTGAAAATATATTAGAAAGTACTTTGAAGAAATACTCACATCCTGTCGACTGGGATTGGGACTGGGACTTGGATGTGGGCAGGAAATTACTACTGATTTAATGAATATGTCAATGCCAGACGAAGGTCCTTCTAGGTAAAATACAACACGGTGAGGCATTGATGATAGCGAAAATGTACCCTCAACCTTGTCCCAATTCTCAGTTGAAGCAGAAATTCTACAAAGGCATAATGGAATCAGTAAGTTCTAATTTAACACCTTCAAAAGAAATAAACAAAAACTGAGAAATACCATACCTTCCGACAGGCATATAGCTAACTGATAAATCTTGGTATTCAAGTTTCAGAGTGGCGAGCACATCAGAAACACCTCGACCAGCCCTTGAGACTGCAATCCAAGCACAGACGCTATAAGTAGGACCTGCAGAAACTCTGCTGGTAATGTCTTGCTCAAGTCCTTGCCAACATTCTTTCCGGTTTGTCACAAAAGCAAAACGACCGCTTAAGTTAGGTGACATCCCCTGAGGATAGCCCGACACAGAGGAAGCCACCGAAGCATCACAACCATTAGGATGCCACATATGAAGTCCCTCAGAAAAATCATGGTTAAGGATGATGTTAGTTGCATATGTAGCCGAATCCTTTAACTCCTTTTCAGGCTTCTGTTATATAAAGAAAAACCACTTAATTTAAACTGTTCTAAGCTTGGCCTTCCAACAGTAGCCAAAAATATTTCACATGTTAGAAACTTAGATCAACATGGTGGCAATATTATCTCAGTGTCTTAACAAACAATGTCGAGCTGTTTATTTTAGCAATTCAAATTTCAAAGCAATGCTTCAATCATGAAACTCCCATAAACAATAAAATCGATGTAACAAAAGGCAAAAGAAGGGGTTAGTCTACTTTACGGCTAATATGGATTCTTCTCCTTATAAGACAACGAGAATAAACCCATCCAATAATGATACCTCAGATATAAAGTTGCTGTTGGCATTGCTTGCCGATGGACTCTCCATAACGTCACTCGATTCCTAAGATCCAAAATTGTCAACGAAACGCCATTCATCAGGCAAATCTCAAATGTGCGATTACAACTTCGTAAAAAAAAAAAAAAAACACTTGCGGAAGAAAATCCAGCAATTAATTCAGTACCTGAGAATCTGGAATTGAGTTGAAATTGAAATTGGAGTGAGGCTTGACTAGTGGTCGACTGACGAAGCAGCAATTGAGGAAATGCCTCATTATATACAACCCCAGCGCCTCGAAGAGTACTGCGAGTGAAGTCTAAGGAAAAGCGCGGGACCCTTCATTCGACCAACCAATCAAATTGCTAGCCATTGATCTGATCATCCTCTGCCTCCGGAAGGCTAATCGATCGTCACTTCGGAGTAGCAATTGAACTTGCTTTGGATTGCAGACATAGGATTGCTTGAATTGAAACGGAAGGATTAGGCAGAAGAGTATAAACTATAGGCTACTTTAGTTTGCTTTCGATTCCATTATTCTCTTCTCCAGTCTCCATAGCGAATTAACTGTTTATACCTTTCTTTCTGTTTCAGTTGTTTATAAAAATTATAGGGTTGAGACATTCGTCGGTATGTATACTGATGTGTTTGTTTGGATATTGAATTTTAAATAACATATTCATCCCATTTTGTTTTTTTTAAAATATCAAATTAAATTTTTATTTTTTATTTTTTTATATTATACTAAAAAAATTAATTTTATATTCAAAATATCGTATCAATATCTATTTATATTATATATAACTATTTAAATTTAAAATTTTTACTATTCAAATTTAATTTGAAATTCAAACCTCAAACATACACACCTTAAAAAAGATAATACTCCCTTCATCCATAAAATAAATATACATTTACTTTTGGCGCGGAGATCAAGGAATAATAGTATTTTAATTATAATAGGCAGGTAAAAGCAGTGAAATGACATTTTTGCTCTTATTTTTTTTTTTTTATAAAAGTAATAATGTGATGTAAAATATGGGTATTTGTGAAAAAAATGAGATATTTAATGAAATGATTACTTTGTAATTTGACGTCTCAAAATAGAAACATATATACTTTGTAATTTGACGTCTCAAAATAAAAACATATATACTTTCTAACTGAAAATATTATAATAAAGTACAGTGAAAAAAGACAAAATGCTCTGATAACATTAGAAGTATATTTATTAATAATTTAATAAATTAAAAAATGACAACCGTTTTGAAACGAAAAAAAAAAAAAAAAAAATTGAGAACATTTCAACGAGGGAGTATTTAAAACTAAAGTTTGATATTTTGTAATTTCAATTAGACTCATTTTAATTTTTTCTAAAAAAATATTAAACATTTTTATTATGTAATAATCGAAGCAGCTCAAAATCAAAGGTGCGACGAAGAAGACAACAATGGAGTCGTCTTCTTCACCCAATGATTCAGCATTCCCTTCCAATTGCAATCCCGATCCTCGCCGGCGCACCTCCCCAGCCGCCCGTCTCGTATCTCCATCCTCCAGTGTCCGTCGGAGAAGTTCCTCTCCGCCGCCTCCCTCCTATCGATCTCCAGCTGCGCCTTCTGCACCGCCCTCAGCAAGCACATCTCACGGAGCCCCTCCTCCATCCCGTCGTGCACCTTCCACCACCGCCGGTGCGCCGCGTCGCTCGCGAACTCCCGCAGCCTCTCCACATTCCAATTGCAATCATAATCCCTAAAACACATCCACGGCTTGTTCCCCAAATAGTGCACCACAAAAACCTCCGGCGCCTCCGCCGCCATCATCCGAACCTTCCTCTCCCTCGCCGCCGCGCCGTCGCCGCTCCAGAAATGCTTCAGAAAATTCACCCGCCGCGGCAGCCGGTGCCACCACGTGAATATCTCGTTCAGGTACCCCTGATCGCCGCCGTTGGCCGATTCGATCTCCTCCACGTGCTCCATTAACAGCCGGAAAGTGCAGTTCGACGGCTCGATCACCATCACCCCCGAGTTGAACCACGCGCCGTCGTTACCCGTCGCCGATATCTCCGGCAGGCCGAACAGGAAATCGATGTTCCTCAGGATCACCATATCCGCATCAATGAACACGATTTTATCATAATCCGTCATCTGCCATAGCCGGAACTTGCTGTAATTCCACTCATTGTAGCTCTCCTTCTCCGCCTTCGGATTCCTAATCCTATCCATACTCCAAACTCTCCACCCCGCCATCTCCAACGCCCTTCTCTGCCGATCGCCAATCGATTCGTCGACGAGGATCACAAGATCTCTCGTTGATCCCGACATTCGAATGCTCCGCGCCGCAACGATCGCGCCGCAGACGTATGCATTATCCGAATGTAGTATAGTCGCATACGCCTCCCTCTTCCTCGTCGACATTATCGAATAATCAATCGAAGCTGCAAGTTCACAAGATCCTACCGGAAGGCGAAGCTTTTCCCTCAACTTTTGTAGTTTCGGTCTATACAGCCATGCGCTGCCGTGGCGCGCGACGAGGTCGTTGCAACGAAACAAATTCGGCGTAGGAAAGCGCGGGGTGACGAGAAGTATATGCACCGGGGAATTGCAGTTATACGAAGCTGCTAAACGCGCGGCTGCGATCTGAAGGTGCAGCCTTGCAATGTCTCGCGACCATTTCTTGTCGGGGCATGGAAGCTTGACGACGATGAGATCGAGTCGTCTTCTTGGCACTTTGATACTCGGAAGAGAAGGGCAGATTGGAACTTCATTTTCTTGATCCTCGTCGATCCACTCGGGATATAACGACTCCCAAGTCACGGTTTGATGAGCGTATTCGAGAGACAGAACGGTGTGGTTAGCATCGGGAATGAGTCGTTTCCATCGATGGATTTCATTTTCGTCGAAGTTGAGAAGGCCAACTTCTTGACGGATATTGTCTTTCATTACCGGGTTTAAGGTTCTCGAAACTTCTTCCCAATCAACGTCTATCTCGGATGCATACCGGGGATCCAAATCGCGCCATATCCACCTATATATGCAAATTCATCAAAAGCTCGAAGAAAAAAAGGCCCTCTAAAGCATCGATAGCGTACCTAGAAACCGAGTGAGAAGTGTCGTCGTTAGGACAGTTAGTCGCGGTCCAAAGAAATACGAAGATAACAAACGAGACAATAAAGGCTAGGACAACTCGACGGAGCTTCCATTTTACAATATTGCCGGGAATGGGACAAGGGAGCCTATGTTGGCTGCCTCTCACCTTAATTCTTGGCAACTTTCGTTTGTGGGCGTCGTCGATGTTACTACGCGCAAATTCATACATGATCTTTGGGAGAACGATCAAGATTCAATAGATGTATACAAGAAAGAACTCGCATTTGTCGTCTAATATCAAGGGTGGTTTGCAATGGCGTCATAGTGAAGGCGAAAACATCGATCGACAACGAAGAGGGTAATATATTGAATTGGATCAACACAATAGGAATGTAAGAAGGGGCAATAAATGGTTAAGATTGTTATCACATACAACATACATTGTATTGGTGTCCATATCTATCGATATCTAACTCTTTGTTGGTTTTATTTCTACATTCGAAGGGTTGTACAAAATCATAATCAATGTAATGTGCTTTGCTATTCATGTTTTGGTTAAGACATTAAAAATGTTCGATTAGGTTTAGTTGGCGAGTAATCAAATCTTCTTGAATTGCCAAATGGAGAAGATCTTTCCGATTTCGACATTCATTACATCTGATCTCGTATCTCTACAAGCTTAGTTTTTTAGATTGAGACGATCATTTCGATTATCTAATACGGTATTAGAGCCATACGAATAGCAAAAAATCAACAAGAAAGAGCAATATCAAATAATGACCAACTAGATTAATTTGAGCAATCAAATGTTTCTTGTCTACATGAACAAGTTTTTGTATTTTTTTTTTAACTGGCAAAAATAAATCTGCTACCTTTAGCATTAGCATGCACAATCTAAAGAAAAATTTGCTCTGCCTTGCAAGAATTCCTGAATGTTCTACTTCAATCCAAGGCAGCAAAGTTGTAAGTATAATCGAAAGGGGAAAAATGGTTTCTTATCTGTTGCGAGGTTGTAAGCGAATTTCGCTACTCTGTCGATGACTCAGACAAAATTATGAGTCGGATACTCATGTTCGTAGCCGTTGTAATCGTAATAAAGCCTCTCTCCCTTCGAAATATCACGCTTTGCAACAAGAAGCACTCGGCATTCGCCATTCACGTTGTATCTCACGCACTTGACGTTCTGCTTCTTCCGGCCTTCCCTGTAAATATTCGAAGAGCAATGCGAGGAAAAGAGAAAGCTGAGTTAAAAAAATACAAATGGTTCTTGAAGTCAAAACAGCAGCTGACGTAAAGGCTTACGCTGTGTGGTTATTTATGCCGCTAACAAAACGAGCAATGTTTCCGCGCTTATCCGGGCATACGAGGAGGCTTTTGGAAGGATCTGTTGCTAAAAGAAGAGTCATCATGCTGTCACAGTCATCTTGTTCCCGGTTCGAAATGTAATCAACGTCTCCTGTATATTCTGCGATCAGTGTCATGTCTTTTATAGGACCATCAGCTTCTACTGTATACCTGGAAAATACGAATAGGATCATTTTCGACTCTAGGGTAAAACAGGAGGGATAAATTATTGAAATCAAGAAGCTTAGAGGAATACCCTTCACATGAGTCGAAGGTTACTATGAGAGGAGGATATTCGCCTCGCCGGTGCATAGCCTTACAGTGTTCAAGTGTCTCGATATCTTCTCTAGAAAGAACCTGATCAGGAAACGACTATGGTATTTGATAAAGAATGCTGAGTTGTGGTAAATTATTGAAATCAAGAAGTTTCAACTAGACCTGCATGCCACCATCTTCAAAAATCGCTTGGTTTGCTGCCCGGGCTGCCATGGTAGGTAGGTAAGTTAGCTCGTTGCTGAACTCCATGCCATGAGCTGTCAAAGCTTTGGCTAGGGATTCCAACTGCACAAGCCTTCTTCCCGGATCCTCTGAAGGAACATATGGCAGCAATCTCCGGCGCTTCTTATGGAATACCAGTGTATTACGTCTACGGCGTTTTTTAGCATCTAAACTTGGATCAAGCAATAAAAAGGATGATGTCAGTGTTCAAAGGCAAACATCATCCCATCCAGAAAATTTCACTGTTGAATAGAAATAAATTAAAAGTGAATAATATCTTTCTCCAGATCAGTTTTATTGCCACTCTATTTCAGTGATCGACACATTTGATATATACTTCTTCTGATGAGTCCTCCAATATACTTTCTAAATTCCTAAACTCCCCAAGAAATGCTGCCCGGACCGAACTAATTATCTAGAATTATTTAGTTTTGTCCTAACCTCAACAGGAATAACCGAAACATTCGAAAGTTACAACCCTTTCTACTTAATCCAACCCATCACAATCCAAAAAGGACAGCTGAAACATTTTCTGATTGGACTATAGATCATCTATTTGGTGACTGCACTGAAGTAAGACGCAATCCAATAGACTTATAATTTATTTGGAAGGGATATTATTTGGGTTCATGATCCTTCTCTTGCTTAACTAATACTATGACGCTATTCGATATGGACGTACTTCACCAGACACTAGCAGATATGTAACGAATACTGAGAAGCAGATTACACTTTCTAGTGAGGATAATGAAATGCTGTCTGTGAGTGAATGAATTTAACAAAAAACACATTGTATCAGACCAAAAATTACTCATTTCAACATTGTATAAGACTGTAAACAGACAAAAGAATGAAATTTAGACAAGATAGTTATCATTGTCATTAAAGTCTTTACCACACTATGTGGGGGTGGCTATTTAGAGACAGACACAATATGATGCTCTACATTTGTCAATCAACATTGCTTATTTGTAGATAAATTGTGAAATAAGGTCATGACAATGCATCACATACGGAACTCAAGCATAAAATACTGTATAATCTTATACAAAATGCCATTTAAAACCTCTATATTTTAAATAAACAATGCAATCTGTAGTATACACGATCACATATCAACCGAAAACTAATCACTAAACACTTTTGGTAGAAAATATCCGTACTCAAGCATGCAGAAGCCCTTTGCATCGGAAAGGGTTTTGCACATATCATATAAGCATATCTCTGCCAATTTATAAAAAATCAAAAATTCTAATTCCATTGATAGCTGACATTATCCTCACCACCTGTTCTTCGTTGAAGACTTGTAGCTAAAGATCATAACGTCCGATCTTTCCTAAAGATCCCTTCCCCTAAAGACTGTCACATTATGGACCTAACAAACCAGGGGGACTTCAGAAACTCAATATTTCATCATTTGGCTGTAAACATCATCACTATCTACAAACTGTGGATAGCTAACTCTCAACCTCATAGCATTTACATTTGAACAAGATAAATATATTTGTGGCATTGCAATGACTATAAGCATGCAGTGTGTTTTTGTCAATGAGAATTAAAGCTTAAATTGTTTTAATATAAAATTCATCAAAGAAACTTCAATCATGGCGGTGATGAAGCAATTGCAATTGATACAAGAAAACACTACCTTGAGGGGAGACCTGGTTAAGGACGAATTCCCCACTCTTCTGAATCCTAAAAAAATCAACAATTTTCTTCTGTGTGAAACCTGTAAATGGAAGAGATCGCCACAACCCAAATTATTCAAAATTCAGGTCAATTCCTTGTCACCATTAAGAACACACGATAGATAGGAAGGATCATATCAATTCTCTCCGAGTAAAAAATCTATTTATATTATTTAGTCTCTCCACCGCTTAGAGACAAAAATTGTACTTAGAGATTGGATATTTTATTCAGGAATACTTTTGAGAGGAAGATTGTGATCATTGGCGCAGGAAGGGCAGAACCAGGGCCCGATGGGAATTCGGGCCACAATTGGGCGAACGCAACCTATGTGGTATCCTCTGTCACATCTGTCGCACAAAACCAGCTCCTCGTCTCGCTCGCCGGAGCCACATTGCTCGCAGGCCACGCGCTCGTAATAATCGCCGCCGCTGTCGCAATCGCCCTCATCTTCTCCTTCATCCTCCAATAACACCGCAGGCTTCGCCACTCTCATGATCTCCTCAATAGACCGATACTTAGTCCTCCTCCTCCTCCTCGGCCCGACCCGAGGCTGGTCGCCCTGAGTCACCGGAATCGACGATGGCGCCATGTACCAGAATCAAATTGTCCCTCCCAGAGGCGAATTGCGATTATTCTCCCCGTCAATTTCGAGTGCGACTGGTACCGCACCGCAGCTGCTGCAGGGATTGGGGGGGGGGAATATCGTGGGTAGGGGGTGGGGGGGTGGCAACCGTATGACGTGGCGATACACAAGTGGACGCGCTAACATGCGCCGGCAGTGCGTAGGCAACTCAGCCTGCGCCTCGGTCGAAAACTTGTTGGGGCAATTTTAGCCGTTCGGCTACTGTTTGGTGCGGCTGCAGTCGCTGGGGACATTTTCGTAATTTCGCACCTAAAAATGAAAAACCTATCTGTGTTATTTTTTTTCTTCTGAGATTAGGAACTTAAAGCTGAACCAAATTATTCGACGATTATTTATTAATAACTACAGCTGAAGAGCGTAACGAAAACGCCGTTCGAATCTCGTAAATCGCTGATCCAAAAACCAGCGACTTTTCAAGGCGTGCAGTTTACTAATTTGGGAATGTCTCTGTCCTGTAAGAAAAGAATACAGAAAGAAAGAAGACGACTTCCTTAACTGCCTGCCCATTTTGACAAGTTTTTATTTTTTACATTTAGCAGCTGCAACTCGTTCTTAATTATTGACTTTTGACATTGTCAAACCCACTCAAGAACATTTAGTGTGGATTTGGTAGTGGTGCATATGTTTTTACTACTATTACATATCATCGTTGTTCATCAATATGAGTGTAAGATTAATGTGTTGTTGATGATCTTGCATTGCAATTGCATCTATTCAGGAGATAGGTTGGTTCGAGGGCTGATCCTAGATTTCGATGCCATGAAGCAAAATTGTTTATAATTCTCGTTGATTTCCAAATTCAGCGTAAATTCTTATATTTTAAAAAACATTGTATGAAACTCTCTAGCATGCAAAAAAAAATATTTAAAAGGAGTTTATGTAGCATATTTGAAATTATAAATAATTGTTATGCAATTTTTAAAGTATAGAAAATTATTTTGACAAACAAAAACAAGGGTCTTCTGCAGCGGCTGATTGGTGATAGTTCGACACAAAATATAAAATATTATCCGCTTTTGATCGAGTTTGCATAGATTTGTTTTTATATTGTTTTTCAAAAAATCTCTTACCAATATAATTTATGTGAAATTTATTAAATGAAGAGTTTTCTTCAAAATTTTCAAATGTAGACTTGAGCTTGTACTAATAATATCCAATTAAGAGAAAAAATGAGTATACAATACAATTATTTCTTTTTTCTCTACATTTTTATTCTCAGTAGAATTTTAATTGAGTTTTAAATAATGTATAAGTACTCGATTTTGGTCAATCTAAAACAAAAATATTCCAAGAATATATTACTCTCTCCGTTCTACATACCATGTCTACGTTGCTGTTTCTGTCCGTCCCACATACTATGTCACTTTTCTTTTTTGGAAAATGATTACTAATTTTAATCTCATTTTAAACTTTTTAATTTTATTTTTTTTAATTTTAATTAAACTAATTAGTTATATTAATCTTAATTTATAATTATTTATATTATAAAATAATTATTTTTACTAATACATTTTTAATTATCTACTAATTACACTCCTCCTAAAATACCGTGTCTACGACGGAGGGAGGGAGTAATATTTATTGCCCTAATTTTTCAAGAAATCTTCTATGCAAATTCAAAATAGCAATGCATGTGAGAAAGTTGTTGATACTTGTCATGACTTTCTAGAAACATTTGTATTTAAATATTTAGGGTATTTTTAATTTTTTTATTTTCAATCAACCTGTGGCCACTTTACTTTTTCAATTTATTGTTTCCTATTGTGGTTAAATTGATATATACTATTAACTTATATTTGTAAATAATGGAAGAACTATATATATATATATATTGACTCGAATGCCATTAAGCAGTCAAAGTCCGAAAGTTTGGAAGCAAGGTTGACTATTACAACCATGAAATGATTGATATATCCAAATTTTGTTTTAAAATCGTTAAAAATGTGACATTATAGTGAACCACTGCAGACTCCACAGCCCTCTGCTTTATCTTATTAGTCATACATAATTATACCCAAAAATAAAATTTAAGAAAAAAAGCTGCCAAAACGGCGCCGTTTTCCAATTTTCATGAAAAAGTTGTTCGCGTGTAGTTATTGGACGGTGACGGTGACGGTGACGGTAACGGAGCTGCCAACTTACGCTTTTATATATTTTCAATTCAAAAACACGCTTTTCCCTTTTTATCCTTTACCCTTTGGGTCGGTCTGTCTGTGCGGTTGCAGAGAAACAGTCAGCAGTCAGTAGTCTGTGGCGCCTCCGTCTTCCCCAAAAACACCGCCACCGCAATTATGAACCCACCGGAGTTCTTCTCCGGCGGCGGATTCGACGGCGCCGATAACCGCCCTTCGCCGCGGAAGGAGCTGCAGGGCCCACGCCCCAGCGCCCTCAAAGTCAACAAAGACTCTTACAAGATCCGGAAGCCGCCCGTCGCGCCGCAGCCCCACCACCGCCCGCCGCCGGAGGCGGCTCGCCCCCCGCCGCCCGAGGAGCGGAAGCCGGTAATAATCTACGCCGTGTCCCCGAAAGTCATCCACACCACCGTCAGCGATTTCATGAACTTGGTCCAGCGCCTCACCGGCAACACCTCCAACAGCGGCGGCGCCTCCGCCTCCACATCCCGGCCGGGAGACCTCTCTCCGGCGGCCAGACTGGCTTCGATAGAGCGGACGAGCCCTCCGAAGGACAGAGAGAGAGAAACCGCCGCCGCCGCCGCCGCTGCCGACATAGCCGACCACGACTTCGTCGGCGATTTGCTCGAAGATGCGCAGGTGGAGGTGGGGAGAACTCCCGGAATCCTCTCTCCGGCTCCGGGGAGCCTGCCGGCGATTCCGTCGGGATTCTTCTCGCCGGTGGGGCCCGACCCGTTTTTAATGGGTTACGGTAACATGTTCATACCCAGCCCGTCGACCCTGTTTTCTGCCCCGATGGTGTCGCCCTCACCCACTTCTTGTGATCTTTTCAACCCATTTTTTGACTTTTAAGTAATTTTTTTGCAGTGTATTTTTAATTTAAACTGTAGTTGAATTTGTTCTGCCAAATGGGCTTCGAGTAGATTTCACTAATTTATTAGTAATAATTACATTTTGTACTTGTAATCTGTAATTTTAGTTGGAGTTACGAACAAATGAGCCTCTTTCAATATTAATATATTGTTATTACAGTTCTGAATAAAATGGGACAAATAGTTGTGTTGTCCCCACCAGTATGGTCAGAAATAAATATGCATGTGGACTTAATAAATTGTTTATTGCAGGAAACAAGTTAGAATTTTATTTTATTTATTAAGGAATTAATTAGGTGACAAATTTGACTTGTTAAAGTAAATTAACTAATGCCTCAAAACGCGTAGCTGTGGTTAGAAAGTTTAAGGTCACTAATCATTGCCTCTGTTCCATGCTATTTGGGGCATTACATTAACAACCACCTTAATGTAATGAGAGCGCTAACCATCACATCCACCGGAACTCACGTAAAGAAATACACTATCTACTTTCGCATAAAATAATATATATATACATATGCTTAAGTTATAAAATATCATATTATGTTATAGTACAATATATATGGCATAAATATATTATAATAATATATAAAATAAGTTAATTATAAAAAAAAGTTCAGTTATTCTACCACCAATGAATTGTGCTAGATATGTACTCATCAATCATCTTTTGTCATTTATATTTTTAAAATAGAAAAATTAATAAAATTAAAAGGTATAATGCATGGAAAGTGATTGTTCGGTAGGGATAAGAAAAATAAATAAATAAAATTGAATCGAATTTTTGGTTGATCGAACAAATTAAGTTCGAACACAAATGACGGTATATTTTATATTTGTTCGATTCGATTTCGATTTTTTATATTTTTCTCGGTTCGTTAAATATATTTATATTATTATATTTTTAAATTTATATTAATAATTATATTGGGTTTGGTTTTGATTTGGCAATTTGATATATTTGCAAATATTTTTATTTAATTGAAATTTTGATTATTTTTCTAATGTATTTTTCTTAATTTCGATTTTCGTAGTTTCGGATATTTGTTCGATTTTTCTTCGAATATCAAATATCTGTATATTTGTAAATAATCGAACTTCACACACTCCTATTAATCAGTACGGTAGAAACACAATTTATTGAAAGTAGTGTAACTGAATCCATATAAAGACAAAATAAAGTTATGTTGGATGAGTCTAGTGAGAGATAGTCTGGTGGTGTATGAATCGACATGACGGTGAAGTCATGAGTTTAAACCACTGACGTCTTTAGATCGCTTCAGAGTATTTTGTACTCCCTCCATTCAGTTGGAAGGGTGGCGTTTGTTTTTTTTACGTAGATTTTTTAATATTAGTATTATATTGGATTGTAGTGGAAAAGACAAAAATATCCATATTAGTATGGTGCAATATAAAAGTAATGACATTTGTGTAATATATTGTAAATTGAAAGGGTATTTATTATGTTAAGTAGGTATTACAATTACTAAATTAGAAAATGGTAATCTTGTTTTGGGACGGACGAAAATGGAAAATGGTAACTTTTCACTGGGACGGAGGAAGTATATTAAATTATTGACGTTTTTCCCATTTCAAAGTGTTTAAACCTTCAATGTCTCCGAATTTTGCGTACTACACATATTTCGCTTAGTGTTGCAACAATATCCTATATAAATGATGACACATGAACTCGTGTAAAACAATCCAAAGCAAACCGTTTATGGCCCAACAACTCCTTGGTCGTTAGTCCGACTGACCCAATCCTAAGGCCGAAAAGTATGGTTTACCTTCTTGCTATTATTTATTCAAATATCGTGAGACAGTTGAATCCTTTATTAAGAGCATGATAATTCTACGATAAGGGCGTGTTTGGCAATTAGCTGATAGCTGTTAGCTGTTAGCTGATTCAATTAGCTGATAGCTGTTAGCTAATTCAATTAGTTGGTTTGACTAGCTGATTCGATTAGTTGTTTGTATTAAAATGTTTGGTAAAACAACTGTTTGATATTAGTTGTTTATACGTAAAATGACAATTGAAGACATTTTAATTTTATTCTTGTTTCTAATATATTCAATTATGTTTTTTTGAGTTTAGAATGTTTAAAATTTTTTTGTTATTAGTTATTGAAAATTGTAAAAGTGTTATAAAAGTATTTATTTTTATTACAGTTAAATTTTAAAAATAATATATTTTTATTAAAATATATAAATAGTTTTTTTATTGAAAATGATGTAAAATATAAAATAATAAATTTTTCGTGTATATATTTATTATGTTAGTTATCGATTAGTTCATTATATTTATAATTTTCAATAAATTTAATTTATTTTTATTATAAAATTTATATAATGTAATTTTAATAAAAAAATAAATTATTAATATTAATATTTTTTATTTTATATTGATTTTAATAAATTTATATATTTTACAATTAAAATAATGTTCATATAAAAATTAATTATTTTAAATTTATAAAAGTAAAACTATAATACAATAAAATATTCTAATATAATTAATAAATAATCAAAATATATTTATTTGTGTAAAATTTATAATAAATTTTTAAGGGATATAAAGGAATAAATTCTTTTTTACAGAAAAAATTATTTCAAAACACTGGGTAAGTTAGCTTTCCAGAAATTAGCTTTTTTGGTCTAAAAAGCTATTCCAAAAAGCTAATTTACCAAATACCTAAATTAGTTTTTTGACTGGTCAAACAGCTAAAAGCTATTCAATAAGTTAAAAGCTCTTAAAAAAGCTATTTGCCAAACACCCCAAATAAATTTCGATAGCTTTTTTTATTAAGCCGTCAAAAGTAATTTTTTGACAATAATAACAATATAATTTAGATAATAAACATACAATATTTTAAAATATAAATATACGAAATAGTAATACTATTATATTATTAATATTTATTTATTAATGCTAGTATTATTTCTCATAAAAATATAATGAATTTGAGTTATAATTATTATAAAATACTTTATCCATCAAAATACATTTATTTTATTTATTTTTTTTATAATTTTTAAAAATAATAATATTTTAATAATAATATAAAATTAAAAATAATATAAATAATATTTTATCTTTTTTTTATATAAAAATAATAATACGACCGTAAAATAGATATATTTACTGAAAAAAATAAAATTCATAATTATTAAAAAATAATTATTTTATAATTCAGCAATTGAGTATATATATTTTGTGAGTAGAAGATATATATTTGTTTTCTTGTCTTCTTCTTCGTCACCCACCCTGCTGCTCCGCTCCACCGGCTCAGTGGCTGCTAGTGTCGACCGGTGAGTTTAATATATAGAGTAGTATATCTTTTCCAAAAAAAATACTTAATAAAATACTGAACCGCCGATCGAAGCGACGGTTTACTGTTCGGAGAAAAGAGGAACCGAAATTGAACCGGTTCGATGGCGGTTCCGGTTTGAAATCGGAGAACCAACCGCCGGTTCGAAAACGATTGGGCAAGTCTTCTCCTCGGATGGCAGAATTGGATCGACCTTAAAAGGGCCAAATTCTTAAACCTCTAAAACCCTAATTCTCTTGCGATCAGACTCAACTCGTAAGATTTCAGTTTCAGATGTCCGCATTTGTTTACCGAGATCCCAGATCCTGAAAGAAGGGTTGGGAAGTAAAGATTCAATATTTTCAATTCGTTATATTTGGATGTTTATTTCCCCCGTTTCGTTTTAGGAGGCGAAGGGAATGGCTTATCGACGGAACATCACGGCTCGAGCAAAGTTTTTTTATCAACAGCAACAACGAGTTGCTCCTTCGTTTTCGTTTTCCCATGTGCATCGCGACGACAGTGATCGTGAAGAATTGCGTGCCAATCCCACTTCGGCGAACTCTGCAACCAGAAGCTATTTTCAACGTTGTTTTTGGAGTACTGGAAATAATTCCGGTATCTTTCATGGTTCGAGAAATTTGTTTCAAGATAGGAGATTTGCGATTGCACCGGGTTGCGGGACAGTTTTAGGTCGAAATTATTCTACCGGGACTGTTGGAGATGAGTCGGCTGGTAAAGTTGAGATTTTCAAAGATGTTGTCGATGCGTTTGAAGGTACCGCAGTAGAGGTGGCTGGGCAGGTAGCGCCACAGTTGGATGAAGTGGCGATTGCAGCAGCAGATTCGTTCTTTCCGGTGGCTGCACTCCAGTACATGATTGATTATGTCCACACTTTCACGGGGCTGCCTTGGTGAGTGCTTAACTCGATTGCTGTTGAAGTTCTTTTCTATCTTTCGGTTATATTGCTGTTTTGTTTTTTGTTGAAATTATGATGTAGTTTTTAGTTCCAATGAATTGAATTGGCTGTGGAAAATTGCTTTATTGTCTGCCTGTTATGTTCATTTGAACTGAGTGACAGTGACTGGATGTGCTCACTTACTTGATCTAGTGGGAAATGAAGTTTTCAAGATACTGTGTTACAAATGACTCTGATGAGAATTTGTTACTTTGTGTTTAATTTGGATTGTGTTGTATTTTCTTTATTGTCTGGTTACATTTTTTCAAGATCTCTGTCGAATAACTTGTAATGTTTGGTTAGGTGGGCGTCAATTTCTTTGGCAACTCTTATGATCCGTTTTCTTCAGCTTCCTCTTATTATAAATCAGCTCAAAGCCACCTCAAAATTCACTGTAAGTTCTGAACACACTTTCATTTTTTTTAGTTATTATACATGCATTTTATCTTTGGGTGGTTGGGAGGCGGGGGGTTGTTGGCTTGGTGTCATTTCTTTGATCTGGAAATTCCTCGAATTTGTATCTGCAATTATAGGAGATGTGAATTAGTTATCTGTTCAACTAATTTGTGTTGGAATTAGTGGAAACTAGTAAATCCAATCTATTTGTTAATGGATCCTCAATTTGTGTTGTTGATTCAGGCCCTGTTTGCTATTGCATTTTAAGGATTACACTGTATTCATTTTTATTTTTATTTTTATTTTTCCATGTATCATGTGTGTATATGTATATATATGTGCAAGATATTTACTGTTGCTTTGAACTTAACCATACTTTACCATGTTGTTGTCTTATGTTTTGAGTGTAAACTCATTGATTTGATTTGCACATTTTGTGCAGCTTCTAAGACCGAAATTGGAGGCAATTAAGGAAGAAATGCAAGAGAGGGTATGAGCTGCATACTCTTGTTTCCCTTTTATTAATCTCTTCTGGGTTATAATACAGGCCATCTTCCTTGATTCCCTTTCTATTGGACATTTATTCTGTAATTGTGAACTTCTTGTTATCGCTGTCCTTGCATTACTATCTATAATTATTTACCGTTGTTTCTTTGATGTAACTTTACAGAACATGAGTCCAGCTGCTGTTGCTGAGGGTCAAGCAAGAATGAAAAGCCTCTTTAAAGAGTATGTATTCTTCTTATAATTTGTATGGCTTATCATAAATGCATGTGCTCTAGCTTTATGAGACTTCTTTTGAGTAAAATTTTTAACCATGTAGAAGAACATTTAATGAGAAATGGAGAAAAACAATCAAACCTAATTCATTTCCAACAAATTTTATCATGTACGGCTATACGTGATGCCGGTGAGCAAAGCTTATTTGGTTTGTAAGATTTAACCGCGCTCACTAATAGACTGAAATTAATAATTACTGTCATTTTTCATTTATATAGACGCACACACAGTATTGAGGCAGAGAAGGTAGAAACTATGCAAGACTCAGTTCCCTACCAACACTAGTTAAAAACTTGCATAATCTGTCTTCTAGGTAATCCTTCATTGCAGGTGTGGAGATCGTATCCCATGATGTGTCCATGTCTCTTTTGCAATGCGCTCTGTAACTTTTGGGGTATTATTAAACTAGGCTTGACTAAGATAAAGTAATCTTTGTGTTCGCAGGTATGGGGTTACTCCATTCACTCCCTTGAGGGGAATTCTAATAACAGGCCCCATTTTTTGTTGCTTCTTCTTTGCCGTAAGATCATACTCCTCGTACCATTGATATATATAGAGTTCATATATATATATATATTTATCTTCTTCTCTTGTTATCTGGAATCATCAATCGTGTTTCTAGCCACTTACCATTTTGTTCTATTATGTTTGTGCAGATTAGGAACATGGTAGAAAAAGTTCCATCTTTTAAAGAAGGTGGAATGTTATGGTTCACCGACTTATCAGTTCCAGATAGCATGTATGTCTTTCCTGTTTTGACAGCTCTCACATTTTGGATTACAGTGGAGGTGAGCTGCCTTCCAAACCTTCTTACGATCTATAGAAAAGTTCTTGTTCTGAAAATCATGTCTTGTGTTTAGTGTCTTGTCTATTCCCGTCTGATATAGTTGCTGCCTGCATAGGTTGTCTTGTTTAATATCTGAGAATAATCAGTCACTGATCAGTATTCATTTTCCAGTTGAATGCCCAAGAAGGTTTGGAAGGCAATCCTACTGCCGGTATGATCAAGAACATCTCCAGGGGCTTTGCTGTACTGACCGTCCCACTGACTGCAACCTTTCCCAATGTATGCTTTTCATAATACTTATTATGCTAAATAAATAAGCAATTGTTAGTAATTTTGATGCACTTGGAATGCTTTTCTTTTCATTTTGCATCTCCTTTAGCTAAATGTGCTGTACTGTTTCGATTTATGAGTGTTATGTCTGCAGGGCATATTTTGTTACTGGATTACATCCAACCTGTTTTCTCTCTGTTACGGACTAGGTCAGTCCTGTCGATTCACACATTGATTTAACCTCTGTTCTTGTCGGGCAGTATTGACATTATGCACTGTATTTGTTCAGTGATGAAGAGGCCTGCGGTGAAGAACTTCTTGGGCATACCAATAATACCTTTGCCACCACCTTCAACCTCGACCACTCAAAAGCAGCCTGAATTTTCATTTTTCGGAGCCCTGAGGAAGTATGCAGAAAGCCAGCAACGATCTATAGTTGCAGCCCAACAACAACAGCAGCAGCAGTTGTCATCCTCCTCGCCTGAAGCATCCCCGCCTAAGCCCGTGAACCAAAGAATCCCATCTTCTTCTGTTCTGAATCAAAGGATTAGAAGCTTGGAGAAGGAAGTCAAAGGGCGCAAGAGAGGAAAGAAAAGGTAACAGCGTAACACAAAGGTAATGTATAACTCAATGAAGAAATATCTTCTTAAAGGGAAATAATGGCAATCCATTATTTAAAATGGAGTTTTGAGCTACATATCTCTCATTTTCATCCTTGATTGTTTAGCTAATTGTTGAAGTCCTATCAAGACTGCTCGTAGATTACAGACAATGCCGATAGAGCTGTGAAAAAGTCTATTTATATGTTTGTGTGAGAATCTGAAATGGCATTGCTTTCCTTAATTTCTTACCACATCTGTCGAATGTTTGTCATCATATTATAAATATCATTTCATCTAGAATCTGGTAGCTTGTTTGCTTGTTTCAATTTGAACAACCACATGAACATAGCTCCTAAACTCTCCCAGGTAAGCCGTAGTTATGGAATGTCTTGATCGTCCCATCGCGATCACCCGTCACGAAAACGAGGCCCCATGTCTTGGATGCGATAATGCCGGAGGCATTGCGATCTATCTTCCTTTCTTGTTGGTGACGACGATGAAGATGAAGATGATCGCCGCAGGCAGTCGACAGGTGGCAGTCATAGTCGTATTCGCAGTGCGGAAGTTTCTCTTCGGGCCATGTTGTGGTCGCCCGAGTCGAGCTGTCCATGGAAAACCAGCTCACGAGGGAGAAACGCTCTGACTCCCGCAGATGTAACGGCGACGACGGTTCTCGACCGTTCTGCATCGAGTTGTTCTCGCCGACATCTGAACCCGACCACGGCAATGCGACGGTTACACCCTCCGCAAAGAAATGCTCGCAGGAACGCGACGATTTCACTTGTTTCAATGACTTAATGCACAACTCGTCGTGGTTCCAAATGTAAACACGGGAGTCGTTCCCGACCGATACGATGTGCCTGCCGCTCGACGTAAACGAAGCTGATCTTTGCCGGCCCGACTTCGCCAAGCCTGTTTGGATAAAAAGAACCATTCTTTCAGGTAAAATGATCCGAGGAATCACTCGCTTACTACAAAGATATGTCGTTCCGTACCTTTATACTTATGGACAACCTCGAAGCCATTGAGAATGCGAATCTTCGAGTCCTCCGAAGTCACCATTACTCTCCGGGAGTCATTGTTTAGAAACTGAATGCTGGTCACTCGGCAGCCCGTTGATTTTTTTCTTCCGTGGATATTTGTCTTGGCGTTTAGAAGGATCTCGTTATCGCCTGCCGAATCAAGAATCGAGATTAATACTATCGATCGTAAACAAGTTTACACAATAACATACGATTGAATATGTACCCGATGATCCGTAGAAGTAGCAGGCGCCCGTAACAGAGCCAGCGATGAAACCCTGTCGACACAAAACATGTTACATATAAATACGCGATTATAACGATCGAAAATAACTCAATTTATCGTTGGTTTCACATTGCACCTTTCCGTTTGGCCGGTAGCATATCGCAGTGACGATCTCCTTCATGTTCACCCAATCTTCGACTCGCTTACTGCAAATTCCCCATATTCGAACTTTCCCGTCGATACAGCCGCTGATGAAGCAGTTCTCATCAACAGGATTGAATTGAACACATGTTACTGAATCAAGAACAAGTAATCTCAAGTTAGTTTTTTTACGATCAATTACGTCGCGATCAGTCCCGTAGCTGCGACAAACTTCGCTCTCTCACCGTAATTACTATGGCGAAAAACTCCGAGGCATTCGTCGGAGCCAACTCGCCAGAACCGAACCGTTTTATCCATCGAAGACGACAGCAGACACTGCAATAAAAATCTCCAATCAGACGAATATGACAACAAAAACGAAGGTAATAATTAAGCATCGGCTAAGCAAAATACATTCGACATCGACCACGCCAGGTCCAAGACGTCGGCGCCATGGCCGTGTAGCTTATGCAGAGGCTCCTCTTCGATGTAGAAACTTCTTTCGGGGATAACAATGGATGGACGACGACCGGGTTTTTTATTCTCGGACTCGATAAAGCTTCGAAACATGCATTTATCCGAATTGTAAGAAGCCTCCACCGTTTTTACGCGCCATATGCAAATGATGCCGTCCTCGCCCCCGGTGGCGAGATATTGCCCGTCGGGGCTGAACTTCATTGTCCAAATTAGGCCGTCATGAGCTTTGAATTCCTGTCCGGTGTAGACAGCGCTACATTCGACAAATCTTTTGTGGCTCTGATCGACCTTTACGGGTATCGAGAATCCTGTTGTTTTCGACTCCTTCCGGCGGCGGCTGTTTTTCTTCATCGACGGCTTAAATTGTCTCCACCAATTAACGGCTTTCTTGGAGGTCGTAGTATCTGTCTGCTTCATCTCTTGCAGCTGATCGGCGACGATGTTCGAATTCGATCCAGCCTGAACATGATCAACACCTCTGTTTTCCGACCAATCCCTGTCCCAATTACAGTCAGCTGAACAATTCGCTTGGCTGTTGGAATTGCGCCGTTCGGACAGCAAATTGTTGCTTTCTTCGATTATGGATTCCTCGGCAGGAATGAGGCGATCGATAAACCCCATTGCGGATAAGAAACTGTCCCTTCTCTCATGAACACTCTGTGGCTCCTTCAGCCAAACATGGTAAGATGAATCAACACAAATCGAATCCTCTTCAGACAAGCAGTCTGCAGAATCGAAGAAGACATCTTCTTGCACAGAGCTCGACATTGTTATTATTTCTTGCCACATTAAACACTTCGAAAATGAGTCTCCATCACAATCCCAATCCCATTTTATAGACTGTCAACGACGACGACTCAAACCCCCAAAACCACGGGCCGAGTTTCGCTGCAGAAACCGACCAACAAACCAACAGCAAGGAACTTCAACGCCGATCCTTTTCTATAAAAAAAATGCGCAGGGGAGGCATTAGTCTCTCAGACAATACAATACAATACAATAGTTGTAATAATTATACAGAAAGGGTGGCTAAGCTATGTCGAAACGAGGAGTGTACCTTGAATCAGTTGGAAAAAAGCAAACAGGAAATCCAATCCAATCCCAACAATAGCACCGTCCAATTCCAATGAGAAGCCACCCAAATTCTCTGCACTTTGACTTGGGGGAATGGTTTAAAGCGTAAGGAAAGGGGAAGAAGACGAAGACGAAGACGAAGAAGCAAAATGTTGGGCTGGGTGAAGTGTATTATTATAAATTGGAAGGGCAGTGTTGGCAATGGAGAAGCAAAGGGGTGTTTAATAAATGGCGGAGGGCCTTGAGATCTGTGACTTGTGAGAAGATGGGTGAAGGTGATGGATGCCCTTTTGGGAATTTTGGCAGCACACGAACGGCGCACCGCACAAATGCTGCTGCTGCTGCCACTACAGATGCCTACGCTATAGCTATATATATATATATGTCCGTATGTATGTATAGGCTTTGGGTTTTAGAGAGAGAGAGAGTGGGGGAAGACTTTCTCTCTCTGTATCGTATCCTCAAAAAGACACCACTTCTCTCAACAACACAATCCCAAGTCAATTCCCACACAGAGCCCGATGCTAGCACCACCAGCAAGCTGTTAAAAAAATAAATTATGTTAAAAATACGAAGAAGAGGGTACAAATCAGACAGCCCCCCACCCCACCCCACCTCAGACAAGTCGAGAACAAAAAACATTTACAAGGAAGAAGGGAGGAACAGAGGGGGGTTTAATTAAACAAGAGTTTAATTTGACAATTGGCATATTATTTATTAATAGAGAGAGAGAGAGAGAGAGAGAGTGTGTTGTGTGTATGCATGCAAAGATCACAATCTGTCAAATATTGCATTTTTGGTGAGAATCGTTTATATAAAGAAAATGATTTATTTGATGTGGGGCGAGTAATTATTGGTAGTTATGTGGAATTATTGCAGGCTCGGAAAAAGGCAGAAATGTTGGAGGATAGACAGATGCGGTACAGCCTGTTATCTGCCCCCTCTCTCTCTCTCTCTCTGCTCTCTCTCTGTATTTGTGTGTTTGTGTTTGTTGTTCTTACAGAGACAATAACAGCCTGAGGAGGCCTATTCAACACCAAAAAGTTTCCAGGGCTAATTGTAGGTTTGGGCTCTAGAGAGAGAGAGAGAGCATTTAGGGTTCCCGACCGCCATTGTAGGTGTTGACACACAGCACAGCACAGCACAGCACAGAAGAACAAATAAAGCTCTGAGAATAAAAAAGGGGGAAAGGGAACATAAATTCAGACAGTGATTTCTCAGGACACTCCCCACATAAATTGCTCATTTATTAATGTTAGGACATCTACATATGAATTCTACTTTCTAATTTCTTAATTTGAAATAAAAACAAAACAAACACACATCAAACTCTTATATATATATATATATATATTTCAGAAAGAAGGTACTTTTAACTAATTTTCATGTGTGGAGGGGGAAATACAAGATTTTATTTCATTTTATTTTATTTATGGAGTCGAGGTATTATATATATATATATTCTCTTTAGGACAGCTAGCTGTAGATAAATACATACACAGACACATATGTATATATTTCATGTTTGTTTCCTTATCATTTTGGTAACAACAACAAAGACACGTATTTCAATTCCATTGCATATAACTACTTTCATTAAGCAAAATATTACTACATACTCTATACGAAGGGTTTTAACTATTAACCAAACAATAACTAATTTTAAATGAAATGAAGGGGGGGGGGGGGGGGATTGGGGATGGTATGTGCAGACATTTATGTCTTGTCTGTATAATTCAAAGGAGAAGATGAAGAGAATTAAAGAAGAAGGAAGGTCACGTGCCTATCATCTACATGCATGTATGCACATATCTCATGTATATATATATATATATATAATTTTACAAATTTTGTATCATCAATAACCCACATTATATTCACCTGTCTTATTCTGCTTAGCTTACAAATTCATTGCAATTCTGATTCTGGATCTCAAAATCCATATCCTCACAACCCCACCCCACCCCACCTTACCCACAATGAATATATATATATAGATGAATATGAATCACTTATTGATCCAGTTAAATTATCATGATGTTATCTTATAACACAATATATATTGAGATATATATAAAGATATATTGGTCATTCATATGACATATGCTGATCCGATTAAATCAACAATATGTTGACTTGACTGAATTAGCACACTATATATATATATATAGATATGTATTATTGTAATGTAGTATATATACTTGTCTTTGTGTAACGAAACATTTGTTGATAGTTGATTAAGAGCAGTGTATGGAAATTAGAGGCACTTTAATGATCAATCAAGAATATTGAAATTAAATTTTAATTTATGATTTTAATAAAGTAACATTTAATTGTTGATTGTGTGTAGTTGATGTGTTGTTGGTGCACAATTTATGAGACTTTATTAGGCCAATCATCAATTACTCTGCTAATTCATTCTCCAATAAGCTCTCAGTGAATTCACCAAAACACCCCTTCTTATTATTCTTATTAATATAAGTATGCTCACTTAAATTTTTTATATGAATTAACTTTTTTTATGTGTATTATGAAAACTATGTTGATAATATAAAAAATAATATTCTATATTAAATAATTGACTTTCTATAAATGTGTAATATATATTATACTCCCTCCGTCCAGCTAGAAAGTATACATGTTTCTAGTTTGGGATGTCCAATTACAAAGTAAACATTTCATTAAATACTTTACTTTTTTCTACAAATACTCCTACTTTACATCACATCATTACTTTTACACCAAAAAGCAAGGGCAAAAATGTCATTACACTACTTTTAACTACCCACTATAATTAAAATACTATTATTTCTTAAACACCGCGCCAAAAGTAATTGTATACTTTTTTTTGTGGACGGAGGGAGTATTAATATATGTGTATATTTTATATTTTTATAATAATATTTATAAAAAAATATTCTATTTTAAAAAATGATGAATGCAAAGACTCACTGTATTTTCAAAACTACCTATAATTAATACTATTCTTTCTGTCCATTGAAAGGTCACCATTTTCCATTTTTTACTACCTACCTAACATAAGAAATACCCTTTCATCTTACAATATATTACACAAATATTATTATTTTTATATTACACTATACTAATAGGAGTATTTTAGTTTTTTTTTACTATAATTCAATATAATACTTAATATTAAAAAATTTACGTGCAAAAAACAAACAAGATAATATACTCTTTTAACTCTTTCTCTCTTTGAACTTTGAAGTGAATATTTGTGTGATATGTCAAAAAGTTGCTAATGGCAGAAAAGGAAATGAGTGAAAAGACAGAAAGGGACAAGAACAAGATGGATTCTTATTAGTTGTCTTACATGTAATAAATAATTAATTTATACCTCTACTGTATAGGTGTGTAGGGAGAGAGAGAGAGACTGTAATAAGAGTATTTATGGATTATGGTTGGAAGGTTCCTAGCTATATTTTTTTTTTGCCCTATTAGCCCTTCCATATAAACTAGTATCATTATATTGCTTGAATGAATAGAAAATACATTTTTGTTGATTCTTATAATCTGATGTAAATTTATATTTTAAAGGTGTATTTTTTATTTTATTTTATTTTTTTATAACGTGACTGCCGTCGTTACTCAAAAGTACGCATTGGATAAATTCTAATCGAACTTAATACCCTACAAATTAAGCTCCACATATATATTATTTTTATATGCATTATATGTTGAGTTCCAGTAGCAAAACGAGCCCGCGTACTCTTGGGGGTCGGAACACCAATTTACTCATACTAATTCAACAATGTTATTTTTTATTCTTTTTAGCACAAGAGCTACGAGTGAACAGAAAAAATAAAAATCATGACATGACAAAAACATCAATTTTAAAATTTGATAGATCAAATTGTCATAATTATATATATAAATAATTTTTTTACACTAAAAAATTTAATGAAACTCGTCACTGCTGAGTTCAATTGTATTATGCATGCACTATTGTTATATATTATTAATTTTATATCATGTATTGTCAACACTGCTTTTCCTATATATATATATATAAATTGTATCTGATTAAAAAAAAAAATGTACCTTTTTTTCTATTAAAATGAAGATATACAAGTATTCTACCTCTTTTTCGAATTTATAGTAAATTATAAATATAATGAAAGAAATTACTCATTTGTTTCTTTAACAAAAAATTTTCAATATATTTCTAAAAAAATAATATATTATACATATTCATTATTTTTATATTATCTACATAATTTTCTATACTTTACGTTAAACAAATTTTTTCAAATCAAACCAAAACACAATACAAACGCACCCTACGTACTCAAAATAAAAAGATACTAGTATATTAAAAAATATGGTAAATTATCATGCATATTTAAGTATTTTATTTCTATTGTTATAGTTGATGTCTATTATTTATTGCAAAATGTTGGGAAAAAAATGGCATTGGTTAAAATTTCTATAAATATGAATATATATATATATATATAATGGGACGAAAAGTAAGCCCCTGGATAATTTAATTAGATACGAATTTCAATGAAAGGACAATCTGTAAATCACGTGTTAGTTAAGCCAATTAAATTTTATTTAATTTTTGTTATTTGCTAATTTTGGATATGATAAAAACTACTATTATTTGATTTAACATATTTTCAATGGTTATTGATTAATAACTAACCACCGTATCTATTTTGTGTTTCTTCCCATTTAATTTCATGGTATATTTTTTCATCAATTCTTCCCTATAACGATAATAATAATTTAGCCTCCAAATATAATATAATACACTTTCACTATTGTCGACTTTAGTGAAGAAATGACAATTATTTAGTCATATTATATAAGTTCTAATTACAATAATAATTAAATGTAAAAAGATAATTGGCCCTACAAAGATAATTGTCATGCATGTCGTCACACTTTTTTTTTTTTTTTAAAAATTTCTTGAATATCACAAAAAGTGCACTAAAATAAAATTCCTTCTACGTGCACTTTCGTTGTCCACTTTGTGTGGTCAAAATTAACATTTAAAAAAAAAAAAAAAACCCTTAATGAATTAAAAAGTTAATTATATATTTTTGAATGAATGTTATACTCGTCTCTTATTTAAATTTATAAGAACAAAATAAAAATTGACCAATAAAACACACCATAAATAAACTCTTCATTTTGCATTCACACACACACATATGATATACATGAAATATATGCAAAAATTATATATACATGAAAAAAAAAAAAAGTCATTGAGGAAAGAAAAACTAACCTCGAGTTTGCAAAACTCCGGAAATTCGATCAATCGATCTCAGCATTCGGTGTTTAATTATAGTTATTGCATGAAAATTTTAGACAAGAATTTGGACTGATGATGAGACAATATAATTAGGATTTTAATTCTCAATTCTTACATTGGTTTGTGCCTTTAAGATTTGCATATATATATATATATATGTGTGTGTGTGTGTGTGAATAATGGAGAAAAATAATAAATGTGAAAAACAAATAAGCAAGTAATAATTAAGAAATTATGTACAATTTTATAACAGCATATCTCCGCTGAATCC